TGTGCCATCAAAGCTTGGGGGCTGCTGGAATGGGCTATGGTCTCGGATCTCTGTTCTCAAGGTCTGCAGGATTCCTTGGTTGTCTTCATGTAATCTGTTCATGTGGTTAGTTAGACTGGGTTTCCTTACACCATGGTGATCTCAATTTAGTCTGACTTCCCAGAACATAAAACTGTTAGCTGCCAGGACCCTCAGAACTTAGGCCTCCTACTGGGACAGTGTCACTTTTGCTGCATTGTACTGGTTTAAAGCAGGTCACAAGACACCAGCCCGGATTCAGCATAGGAGGAAATGTCTCAAGGGTGGGAATATTGGAGACATAGTTGATTGGGGGCCATCTTTGGAGGCTAACACATCAATGTTTATTAGAGAAATTCATAAACAAGATACCAAGTCTATTTCCCACCAAATGACCAAAAGCAAAGGAATGCTCAGCTTAATTGTCTTTTACTATACAGAAGTCTACACCCAAATCTTTCTGATGATTCCATGATCTCTCCCAAATATGCCTCATTCAAATTCTTTCATTACTGCAGTCTCTTCATTAGGTTCTAGCATGACTCTTACCTACACTAAATGTTTCCAGACAGCTGACTTCCAAAATTCAGAAAAATTAAGATATAACTAATATAGTCTATGTATTTACAGAGACTTGTCAACTTTGTACATTTTTAAATTTTTTTTTTCTTTTTTAGAGACAGGGTCTTGCACTGTCACCCAGGCTGGAGTACAGTGGCTTGATCCTAGCTTACTGCAGCCTTGAACTTCTGGGGTGAAGCGATTCTCTCACCTCGGTCTTCCAAGTACCTGGGACTATAGACACATACCACCATGCTTGTTAATTTTCAAAATTTTTTTGTAGCCACAGGGATTTCACCATGCTGCCCAGGCTGGTCTGCAACTCCTGAGCTTAAGTGATCCTCCTGCCTTGGCTTTCCAAAGAGCCAGGGTTGTAAGCATGAGCCACCGCACTTGGCCAACTTCGTAATTTTTTAATTGCCAATTAAGAACACTAAAAAAATATACCATCTACTATTACTCTTGCCTCTTAAGGTATGTTTAATTTTTTTAAAAGTAACAGAATTTCATACTGAAGGACAGCCTTAGTTCTGGTTACTTTATGAAAACATACTACATATCTTTGTTCTCACTTTGCTGCAAGTCATGAAAATCCCACCAAGGATTGCCACTGGTTCTTGGACCGAGTGTTTGGGAACCCCTAGTCAATTCAGTGTTACTGAACATTTTAAAGGCCTTTTTTTTTTTTTTAAAATTATTTTTTGAGACAGAGTCTGGCTCTGTTACCCAGGCTGGAGTGCACTGACGCACTCTCAGTTCACTGCAACCTCTGCCTTCCAGGCTCAAGCAATCTTCCTACCTCAGCCCCCTGGGTAGTTGGGACTATAGGTGGTTAATTTTTGTATTTTTTTGGTAGATGTAGGAGTTCACCATGTCACCCAGGCTGGTTTCGAACTCTTGAGCTCAAGTGATCTGCCTGCCTCAGCCTGCCACAAGTGCTGACATTACAGGTGTGAGCTAATTTACCCACCCTTCAAGGCCCTTTTCATTCAACCTGCTAAAATCATTTCACATCTTTCACTAGGGACTGTAATCAGACTAATGATATTGCAAATTCTATTACTCCCTCTTTTACATGGAATCATTTAAATCTGTGCTAATGTATAAAATCCAATTGTTAAATATTTGTCTCTGTATTAGGATTGGATAATGTTAACATAGTCAGTAGTTATAAATGGGGGGGGTCTGTAGTTAGATCTGTCTCTGTTCCAATCAGAGTCCGAGCAAACATTAACAACACAGTCTCTCTGCACTTCAATTTCTCCATCTGTGGCATAATTTTAAGAGATTATACAGAAAGTGTATGGAGTAGTGCCTAGCACACACATGGTGAGCACTCAGTATGTTTGTTATATTATTATTTGAGATGGAGCCTCACTCTGTCACCCAGGCTGGAATGCAGTGGCTTGATCTTGGCTCACTGCAACTTCTGCTATCCTGGTTCAAGCAATTTTCCTGTCTCAGCTTCCTGAGTAGCTGGAATTACAGGCTCCTGCCATGGTGCCTGGCTAATTTTTGTATTTTTTATAGAGATGGGGTTTCAGCATCTTGGCCAGGCTGGTCTTGAACTCCTGACCTCGTGATCCACATCTGGGCCTCCCAAAGTGCTGGGATTACATATGGGAGCCACTGCATGTTTGTTATATCATATTTATACACGGAATCACTAATTTGCACTTGCATGTAGGATTTTAACATACTTTACATTTTAAGGGTGATCTCAAATATCCACAATACTTTGGAAGAGATTAGCCACAATTAGACAGTGGAATTTTAAGGTTGGAAGAGAACTGTATTTTATTTTTATTTTTTTTATATAGAGTCTGGCACTGTCTCCCAGGCTAGAGTGCACTGGTGCCATCTTGGCTCACTACAACCTCTGCCTCCCGGGTTCAAGCAATTCTCCTGCCTCAGCCTGTTAAGTAGCTAGGATTATAGGTGCCCCCCACCATGCCTGCCTAATGGAAGGGAATTTTTAATGTCATATGATTCCAACCTATTATAAATGAGGACCTCTTTATTTAAAAAAGTTGGCCAGGCATGGTGGCTCATGCCTGTAGTCCCAGTACTTTGGGAGGCCAAGGCGGGCAGATCACAAGGTCAGTAGTTTGAGACCAGCCTGGCCAACATGGTGAAACCCCATCTCTACTAAAAATACAAAAACTAGCTTGGTGTGGTGGCACATGCCTGTAATCCCAGCTACTCCAGAGGCTGAGGCAGGAAAATCGTTTGAACTTGGGAGGTAGAGGTTGCAGTGAGTGGAGATTGTGTCCAGTCTGGGCCACAAGAGTGAAACTCCATACGGGGGAAAAAAATGTTAATTCAGAGTCCATATATCTTATGGCAGAAGATAACTATTGGTGTGTTACAATCATGAGGATAGCCTTGTAGGTAAGTTAGCTATATGGACCCCACATGTATTTCTAGTAGCTCTGCCAAGTTGGTTATTACTTCCACTTACATTTATCAGTGTTGCTCATGTATTATCTTAGCTACCTGTTTCTTTTTCATATGTGTCTAAATGGAAAGCAACATAATGTTTACCATTCTCTGAGAAACAACAAAATACCTAATACCTAAAAATGGTAATAATAATAATAAAAAAGACAAGCAGGGTTTAGGAAATTTATTTTAGGACAACTGCCAGATTTATTTTAAGCCCTATGCTTAAAAATAAATCTAATTCACATGACTTAAAATGCTGGAGCCAAGAAAAGTCACTGCAAAGGCATTTAATGAAATACCTGGTTTGTTTAGTTGTCTTTGCTATGATTTTTGCATACATTAAGAAATTCCTATCTTGATATATACAGTGGATTTTATAGCTAGGTATTTTTTTGTAATACATAAAGTAAAAATAGAAATAGACTTTTTTTTCAAACAATATAAGATTATCGTGGCAGGTCGTGGTAGCACACGAAACCTAGCCCTCTGGGAGGCCAAGGCAAGTGGATCACGAGGTCAGGAGATCGAGACCATCCTGGCTAACACGGTGAAACCTCGCATTTACTAAAAAAATACAAAAAATTAGCCGGGGGTGGTGGTGGCCTGCGCCTGTAGCCCCAGATACTCGGAAGGCTGAGGCAGGAGAATCGCTTCAACCCAGGAGGCGGAGGTTGCAGTGAGCCGAGATGGCACCACTGCACTCCAGCCTGGAGACAGAGGGAGACTTTGTGTAAAAAAAAAAAAAATTGCGGGCGCCTGTAATCCCAGCTGCTACTTGGGAGGCTGAGGCAGGAGAATCGCTTGAACCCAGGGGACAGAGGTTGCAGTGAGCCAAGATTGCGCCACTGCACCCCAGCCTGGGCAACAGAGTAAAACTCCGTCTCAAAAAAAAAAAAAAAAAAAAGATTTTCCTAACCTCTGACTCACTTCGTAAGGTTGGTGGACTGTTAAGATGCTGCAGGATGTTTTTTTTTTTTTGAGACGGAGTTTCGCTCTTGCTACCCAGGCTGAAGTGCAATGGCGCTATCTCGGCTCACTGCAACCTCCGCCTCCTGGGCTCAGGCAATTCTCCTGCCTCAGCCTCCTGTGTAGCTGGGATTAGAGGCACGCATCACCATGCCCAGCTAATTTTTTGTATTGTTAGTAGAGACAGAGTTTCACCATGTTGACCAGGATGGTCTTGATCTCTTGACCTTGTGATCCACCCGCCTCAGCCTCCCAAAGTGCTGGGATTACAGGCGTGAGCCACCCGGCCGCTTTTTACTCAGAAAGACAATTGGTTCATCTGTACCATTTTCCAGCATGGGGTAAAATACCCACATTTTCTATTTCTAGTGATTCTTAATTTGACTTCTGAGCAAAAATAAAGTTTGATTAGAAATAAATTAAGGTAGATTGCTTACTGAAACCAGTGAAGAACATTACTTTATCGGGGGTGAGTGAAAAGTCTTTCATCTTCTCTCACATCACAGTCACCTGAAGCAACGGAACTAGGAGAAATGCCCATTATTCTCAAGTCCTACATTAGTTCTTATAAAAATCACAATTACGTTTTACTGAATGTTTTGACATTGAAATGGCAGCCTTACACGTCCAGGAGAGAACTACAGTGAGGGTGTTAATGAGAGAACTAATATGAACGACTTAAAAATATTGATTTTTTTTCCACGAGATTTTCTTTTAAAAAATTAAATTGAGCTTTCCTTCTATTGACTATCTTCCGGAGTCAGTATTTTATGGCTCTCCTGACACACACGCCTGGGGTGGGAGGGCTGAGCGCTGTAGCGCTTTGGAACTTTCCCAGGGAATCTTTTTTTTTTTTTCACTATCTCCAGTAACGGCTATAAGCAATTCCCAGGGAATCTTAAACGGTTCAAAGCCGGGGCTCGCGGAGGGCTGTCCACCGAGTACCACCGAAAACCAAACGCCACTGGTGCCTGCCGATGGAAAGTCATCTTGCCTTAAAAATAACCTACCTCCCATCCTAACAGTAACAAGGAGAACAAGCACTCTTTCCTCGTCAGAAGTCTTTGGACTGGCTGCAACCCAGAGGAAACAGAGTTGGGGCAGCTGCTGGGACAGCGACCAGAAGCAGCCAGAGCTCCTCCTCTGTCCAGACCTCCAATGCCGCTCCACAGCGGCGCAGCCCAGCAGGACCAGGACCTTGCGGGCTGCTGCTGACGCCCCGTCGGCTCCACCCAGCTGTCCGCCTTCTCCCGCGATCAGCCTGCAAGGTCCCGCCCACCTTACAGCCCCGCCCCGCCCTGCGGAGGCGACAGCGTGCGCGCGCGCGCGGGGTCCCGGCTGGTTCCCCTTCCGAGCGACCGCGCCACGCATGCGCAGTGTGCGCCGGCGGTCTCCGTTTGTTTGAACAGGAAGGCGGACATATTAGTCTCTCTCGGCCCCCCTCGCCCCACCCCCCCCCAGGCATTCGCCGCCGCGACTCGCCCTTTCCCCTGCTAGGACCGCAGCCCCTCCCAGGAGCTCCCCCATCAACAGCCGCCGGGACCCAACTATCGTCTTCTTCTTCGCCCGCTCTCCAGCCTTTCCTCTGCTAAGTCTCCATCGGGCATCGACTTCGCCCTGCCCCACCGGACACCGTAGCAGCAGCCCAAGCAGCGAGGGGACAAAATGGGAGAGTGAGGCTGTCCCGCGGGGACCAGCTCGTGGCCGAGACTGATCGGTGCGTCAGGCCGGGCCGAGTAGAGCCGGGGATGCGGGGCTAGACAGTCTACCAGCGCCTCTGAGCGGAGCGGGCCCGGCCCGTGGCCCGAGCGGCGGCCGCAGCTGGCACAGCTCCTCACCCGCCCTTCGCTTTCGCCTTTCCTCTTCTCTCTCCCTTGTTGCCCTGAGGGAGTCTCCACCCTGCTTCTCTTCTCTCGTCGCTCCTGCCCATCTCGGGACGGGGACCCCTCCATGGCGACGGCGGCCGGGGCCCGCTAGGCTGAAGCACCTCGCCGGAGCGACGAGGCTGGTGGCGACGGCGCTGTCGGCTGTCGTGAGGGGCGGCCGGGTGGGATGCGACTTTGGGCGTCCGAGCGGCTGTGGGTCGCTGTTGCCCCCGGCCGGGGGTCTGGAGAGCGGAGGTCCCCTCAGTGAGGGGAAGGAGGGGGAACCGGGCGCACCTGGTGACCCTGAGGTTCCGGCTCCTCCGCCCCGCGGCTGCGAACCCACTGCGGAGGAAGTTGGTTGAAATTGCTTTCCGCTGCTGGTGCTGGTACGAGGGCATTGTCACAGCTGTAGCAACATGTCGACTGGGGACAGTTTTGAAACTCGATTTGAAAAAATCGACAACCTGCTGCGGGATCCCAAATCGGAAGTGAATTCGGATTGTTTGCTGGTGAGTAGTGCTGCTCTCTTTTGCTTCTCTGGGGTTTTGCATGTCTTGTCTTCCTCTTGCGTTAGTCCAGTTAGCTGCAAAAGAAGGTCTCAGGTGTGCATAATCTCTTGGAAAACGCTAGATTTCTGTTTCCTGCAGAATCTTGGAGTACCATTAAGATCTCACGGCGTGGTCTTGTTTACCATTTGACTGGCTCTGTACTAACTACTCTCGGAACTTTTAATTCTGACCCAGTTCATCAGTACACGAAAGATACAAACTGCTATTTCAGGCATCCTATAAAGTTATCACGTCAGTTACTGCTACATACATAGTTTGTTGAATGGCAATCATAGTAATAATCTTTCTGATTTGTTTGACAGTCAAATTGGAAAGACTACTTTGCATTTTTTTCTTTTCTTTACTTTTTTGCGATTTAGCTCCTAGGGGTTTAGTTTTTAGCCTTGAAAGTGACAACGGAGAACTGATATTGAGGAAGTGATTTTTGAGCCAAAATTTCATAAGTGATTGGAGTTTGAAGGAACTTTTTTGCTGAACTATTGTAAAAACCCAGTATAATTGATCATAGGTCATTGCAGTGTTAACTTCTTTTATAATGTTATTGGTTACAAAAGTACCATACAGTCTATTTGGTTGTGTGGCACTTAACATTGCCACTTTTAAAACATTCTAAAGAGGGTTTTATGACATGGAAAATCCAAAATCCCATTTTGAAAATAGTACAGTAGTTGACAACATGCACAGTTATCTGTAAGTAATTGGAATTCTTAGGTCTGATACATTTCTAATGTAAACAAGTTTCTGAATTAAGGGTTATGTAATATTTCTCTTTTAGTCCAAAAACAGCATAATCTCTAAAATAAGATTTCAGGGAGTATGTAGATGGACAGGATTTCACAGCGTCTCTGATGAAATAATGTTAGATATGCACAATTTTGGGAATTAAGATTAAGGAAACAGTACAATTCGAAGAAATAATTTAATTCAAAAATCCCATCTTGAATCAAAGAAAAATTAATGTAGATTGTTTAAAATTAACGTCCATTTTATTATTCTAAATTTTTCTAAATTATTCTAGTTATTCTAAATTTCTGTTTATTTATATTTTTCCACATGTATGGGTTTTACAAGAAGCTTCCCAATGCTTTCGGAATTGTTCTACGTATCCCTGACCAGAAAATAAGTTGTTTGAAATGTCTCAACACATTATGGGTGCTCTTTATATTGAGAAATAGTAAAGAAGGTTGATGCTTAATAAATTTTAAAACATTTCATTAAACGAGACAAGTGGAAGGGATTAGAATACATCTTTCCAGTAAGGATTTCTGTCACTTCTAAGAAGTCTGATTTTTCTTTTAATATTTATCCAGTTTTCATATGTCTTTGATTTTATTTTGCTTTTCAATTTCATTATTACATAAGGTGGTAGTACAGGGAGGGTTTGGTAGCTTTCTTTTTTTTTTTTTTTTAAATCATCTTCGCTTGTTTGTGGAGACCTTTATTTAGATGTGGAGGATACAAGGAAATATAAGTCTTGGACTCTTGCCTTGAGAGTCCAATCTTTTTAGGAAGACAAGACCTTATCTCACATGTATACATAGAAACAAAACCAAACACTTTACAGATTGAGAAAACGTGATAAATTCCAGATGATTGTTTAGATAATGATGCTCTTGGAAATTGAGAAGTCACTGTGAGTTGAGAGAGCCAAAGTGAGTTGATGGGTAGATAGGATTTAGATAGAGGGTATTGAAGAGGAGTGGAGGATAACGTGAATAGAGGGTGGAGACATGACTGGTTATGACATGTTTGGGGAAACAAGGAAGATAAGGTTGGAAGGAACTATTAGGGTTAGATTGTAGAGGATTTGATTGGTAAGCTAAGGATTTTGAATGCCTGTCCTATGTTGTGGCTATTAAATATTTATAAATAAGAAAGTGCTAGGGTGAATGAAGGAGATGAATCTAGTTGCGTACAAGATGGGTTAGCATGGGAAAAGACTGGAGAAACGATGAGATTGGACAGTTTTAAAAAACTATTATTGTAATAGTCCAGAAATGATTGAAGCCCAAAATTGGGGCATGAGAATGAGAAAGGAAGAATTAATGGAATTTTATTGGTAGGGTTGGGGAAAAGAAGGGGAACCAAAAAGAGAGGCAGTAGTCAGTCAGATGACTATAAAGGTTGAGTCTGGATTATAGGGAGAATGGTAAAAATAGCAAAGTCAGGTTTGGAAATTGCTTGGGAAGAATAGGCCTACAGATAAATTCAATTTTAGATTTGTTGTGTTTGAGGGGATAGTGGAGCAATCATGAGAATATGACCTGTAGAGACTGGGAGATAGGGAACTGAGCTAATGATTACAGATAATGATTTGGAAGTCATTTGCACAAAGGTGAAAGTTGATATAATGATAAAGGGAGAAACAGTGGAGAGAAAACTGAGGGTTAAAGATGAAGGTTGAACAAAGAGGAACAGTGGAGGAAATAAGGCCTCCAGAGTTAGGAGAGCCAGGTGTCATGGAGCCCAACACTTCTAAAACAACATTTTGAAAAAGAGAATAGTCAACAAACAGATCTGGTTATTTTTTTCCCCTTGAAATGTTATATCTTGTCCCCTTTTTTTCTGTTTAGTTCACAGCTGTTTATTGATAGCTGTCACTGAAATTTTATTACTCTATCAATCTGAACTTGGGAAGGACTGAATTTTCCTTTTTTTTCTTTTCTGAGACAGAATCGCACTCTGTCGCTCAGGCTGGAGTATAGTGGCACAATCTTGGCTCCCTGCAACCTCCACCTTCCAGGTTCAAGTGATTCTTCTGCCTCAGCCTCCTGAGTAGCTGGGATTACGGGCATGCACCACCATGCCTAGCTAAGTTTTGTATTTTTAGTAGAGACAGAATTTTACCATGTTGGCCAGGCTGGTCTTGAACTCCTGACCTCAAGTAATCCACCTGCCTGGGCCTCCCAAAGTGCTGGGATTACAGGAGTGAGCCACTGTGCCTGGCCCAAAACTGGAAAAATGATTTTTCCAGTTTTGTAGTATATAGCATGAATTTTCTTTGCATGATGTTTTATGATTAACATTGAGCATTCATTCATTAATTCTGTCATTCAGAGTGACCTATCAGGTGACTTCAGCTTTTTCAGTGAGTCTGTTCTTGTTCTCCATCTGGACTTTGGACCTCTCATATATTATTATAGGAACAATACTCCTTTTACATTGGTTGCCTTTCTCTATTATTTTAACTTTTTTTGGTTTGTTTAACTGATACTTATGTATTATGTGCCATGTGCAATCCTTTAGTTCTAGGTTTTTTTTATAATCTCAAAAATAAGGTTTTCAAATTATGTTTCTCCTCTACTTCCTTTACTAGATTCATGCTTAGAAGTGCAAGCTTTCAAATCTTTTGGTTTCAGAAGTTATCTGGTATATGTCTTTTTAAACTGCCTTACCCACAAAACAGCTTTTTTGTTGAGACACTAATGATGACTAGCATCCGTAATCTGAAATTCGAGGGGCTGAAAATCTGAAACTTTTTGAGTGCTGACATGACGTCACAAGTGGAAAATTCCACACCTGACCTTGTGCCATGGGTTGCAGTGAAAATGTAGTCAAAATTTTGTTTCATGCACAAAATTATTAAAATATTGCATAAAATGACCTTCAGGTTGTGTGTATGAGTATATATGAAATGTAAATCAATTTCTTATTTAGACTTGGTTCCCATCCTCAAGGTATCTTATTATATGGAAATATTTTAAAATGAAAAAGTCTACAATTCGAAACACTTCTAGTCCCAAGTATTTCAAACAAGGGATACTTAACCTGCAGTAGTTTTAAATAATGTAGCTGGGAAGAACTCTGATAAGTGACTATCCAATGTTTTCTTGAACATCTATAATTTTTTTCAAGAACTAAGTAAGTTCATTTTTCATATTATATATAAATGCTAAACTAGTCTGAAAATACTAAGATATATTGTGATAACCATTCA